AAAACCATATAATCAAGTTCAAAGCAGATAATCTGGATTTTGTATAGCAGTTTAGAAGTGGTCTTCGTTTCCCTCTACTTCAGGAGATGGGTGGGGAGAAGAAAAAATGTTTGCTTACAAAGTGTGGGAGACTGCCACCAAATTTAAATATAGGCTCCATGGCTTCCAGCAGCTGGTGAAAAGTTTCGTCCTCATTGGAGAAGCGATGTCCAAAGACCACAGCACAAATCACATTTGATACTGCGAGAGTGAGGGCAAAGGAAGGGTTCGTCGGCTTTCCTGCAGATGGACCAATTGACCTTGTGAGCCAATCTAGCTAAAATAGCATAGAACATCCAAAAATATGGTTCACGATATACCTAACTTAAATACTTTTTATAAACTGACCTCTCGTGATATAGTTTTCCATGCAGAGTTTGTTATTTTAAAAAAAATAGTAAAAAAAGGAAAATCAGCAATATACATTTACAAACAGAACACACAACATACAGGGACAGTAACAAACACAGTAGACAATACAGTCCCTCTAGCACCTCACCCATGATCCCACCACCTAGGACTTCCATCCCTGCTCACTATGATACCTACACCCTGTAATAACTATCCATATAAATTCCTTAAATAGGAAGCTGATCTAATCTCCCTAGGAAGAGCGTTCCATAGTTGAGGGGCCACCACTGAGAAGGCCCTGTCACTCGTTCCCACCAACCATACTTATGATGATGGCGGGACCGAGAGCAGGACCTCTCCAGATGATCTTAAAGTCCTTGCAGGTTCATAAGGGGAGATTCGTTGTAGTCTTATCAAATTGTGCTGTGTTATTTTTCCATCTAGCCAGCCTTTCTCAAATTCTTTTTCTCTTATCTTGTTTAGGATGTCTGCTTGTGCTTTCTTTTTCCTTTTAAACCAAATGGAGTTTTGTTGGATCAATAACCCTCTTACTTATTACTCTTACTACCGATTTCCCAGCATCCCAAACAACCCTATCTGAAATGTTATCTTTTAAGTTATTTTTCAGATAGTTTTGTATACCATCTTTTACATTGTTCTTGATTTTGGGATCTTTCAGCACATGATTGTTTATGTTTATCCTCCAGAGTTTTCTCTCTGGCTCCTTCAAAGTTTTCTCTTTCAATCATCAATAGAAAGGCATTTTTGGTTCAACTGATGTTGGAGATGTGTGCTTGTTTTGTTATATTTTAATTGTATTGTTTGGGAAGGAGAGGAAAAAAAAGGTTTCAGACTGGAACCTTAGTTTGAGGACCCCTGCTCTATCCTCTATGACAAAGAGCCATCAGGACTGAAGTTTATCTATGCTTCAGTCATTGAAGAGTACCTTTGGTTGCTCTGAAGTTTTCCACCAGGTGGTAGGCTTCCTCTTGGATCTGGTACTCCAGGCTTCTCTTCCCCAGGCCCAGGTTCTTCAAAGTCATCAGGGAAAAGCGTCTCTGATGTTTCCATGTACTGCCAGTTGACAGTAAAATACCTGAAACCATTGAAAACCAAACATAGACCAATTCTATTACCAATTACTCATCGGAATTTTGAGTGCAGAATCCAAGTCCCAGAATACTATTATGCAAGGGAGCCACTGAAGTGCTAACACCTAGATTAGCACCTCTCAGGATATCTGGGACCAGACTACAATTTTGTCTATTGGCTTTAACACTTTCTTTCTTTCTTTCCTAGAAACTCTCTACAGACCAATGGCTCACAAATCAGCAGCAGTCCACAGACCACCACTTTGAAATGACCTTTTCCTATAATAATAATAATAATAATAATAATAATAATAATAATAATAATAATACTTTATTTATATTGCTCTATCTCCCTGAGGGGACTCAGGGCGGATCACAGTACACATACATGGCAAACATTGAATGCTGTTTTGGATAGACAATACAAAGACAGACAGAACAGAAGGAGGTATGTTGTGTTGACATCAACGTCCAGCTTCTCTGAAGCTTTAGATCAGGGGTCCTCAAACTTTTTAAACAGAGGGCCAGGTCACAGTCCCTCAAACTGTTGGAGGGCCGATTATAATTTGAGAAAAAAATGAATTCCTATGCACACTGCACATATCTTATTTGTAGTGCAAAAAACACTTAAAAACAATACAATAATTAAAATGAAGAACAATTTTAACAAATATAAACTTATTAGTATTTCAATGGGAAGTGTGGGCCTGCTTTTGGCTAATGAGATAGGATTGTTTCTGTTGTTGTATGCTATCAAGTCATTTCAGACTTAGGTTGACCCTGAGCGAGGACTGGTAAATGACCTTGGAGGGTCGTATCTGGCCCCTGGGCCTTAGTTTGAGGACCCTTGATGTAGATCCTCAGCTAGGTCAGAAATAGTTACTTTGTGGGAGACTGCTAAGGTTCACAGAGAAGAGCCGTCAGGACTTCCCCCTTCCTTTTGGTCACCCAACATTTTCTGATCTTCTTTCTTTATGGCGTCATAAAACACCTCCCCCACTTTTTAGCGGTACCTAATTTCTCTAATTACAGCTAAAGCTGTTTTCGAATTGCTTTAGGTAAACAATGAGCTAGGGTGTCATTTGGCAGCTCACGCCAAACCCAGGGTTCAAACTTGCAACCTTTTGGTTGATAGATCTTACAATTGCTGACGATTTATCAGCTGTGCTAAACCTGCGGCAGTATACCTTTCACGTGACATCATGTGCATCCCACTATTCGTTTGCCTCCCACTTCCCCAATGGTTCTCCCATCCCTGGCTTTTATCAGGCAAAACTCTACAATGGTGTTCAACCACATTCCATTCCAGTCATTAATTCCAGGGATTCCTTCCAGGTCTCTGCTAATATTCTGGCAGTAACGGGGCATCAGGGGATGGGATTACCCCCCTTCTCTCTCCCTTCCCCTTTCTGTTCCAAAACTGGATGCTTTCCTTTTATTTTATGTACTGTATATCTTTACTTTTCTAATAGTTTAGATGATTAAATGGCACAATTGCACTAAAATATAAATAAAGAACAGATGTGAAGAAAGGCAGGCTTATAAGGATGGGCGGAAGTATGGTTAGCAGTTGGTGTGATAGTTCAGAGACTCCACCTTAACAGCTACCATCACAATCCTATGAGAATCTTCACATCAAAGAAACAACAACAACAACAAACTATTCCATCCCATCTCTCCAACAGGGACTCAGGGCGGCTCACAAAAAAAATTGGCAGCCATTCAATGCCAGACATACATAATAAATAAATAAATAACCAAGTAATATAACACAAGTAAATGGGTGTGAGATGACCTTGCCTTTATTATTTGCCAGAGCTTTGAAAAAAGGGAGGACTGGACGGCCCGCAACATCATCTGGGTGAGTGGTGAGACCAGCCTTCACTGCGTGGAATCCATTCAACATAATCACAGGGAAGGGTCCAAGCCACAAAGTATAGATGTCCCCATAGGATTTTGCGGCCTGTAGAAAAAAAACATATCAGGAAAGTGCAGGTGATTCTGGACTCTCAGCTTGATCTGAAGAATTTCCAAGTCAATCATATTCAAGTAGAGTGGTCTATGGGAGGCTAATACGCCAGCACTGCTGCTTAGTTTTGAGTCTTCATTGCTCTGAATATCCCCACAACTCAACCACTCCTCCTAAGTTTTGTTCTTGATCCCTCTAATCATCTTCCTCTGACCCTGGTTGAAGTTATCAATATACTTCTTCCAATGAGATGCCCAAAACTAAACACAGGACTCCAGAGGTGGTGTGGCCAAAGCACAAGATAGGCTGCAGCACCTCACTCCTGGCTCATGTTCAATTGATGCTCAACAATCATAGAATCATAGAATCAAAGAGTTGGAAGAGACCTCATGGGCCATCCAGTCCAACCCCCTGCCAAGAAGCAGGAATATTGCATTCAAATCACCCCTGACGGATGGCCATCCAGCCTCTGTTTAAAAGCTTCCAAAGAAGGAGCCTCCACCACACTCCGGGGCAGAGAGTTCCACTGCTGAACGGCTCTCACAGTCAGGAAGTTCTTCCTCATGTTCAGATGGAATCTCCTCTCTTGTAGTTTGAAGCCATTGTTCCTTTGCGTCCTAGTCTCCAAGGAAGCAGAAAACAAGCTTGCTCCCTCCTCCTCCCTGTGGCTTCCTCTCACATATTTATACATGGCTATCATATCTCCTCTCAGCTTCCTTAAGCCGCTCCTCATAGGGCTTGTTCTCCAGACCTTTTATCATTTTAGTCGCCCTCCTCTGGACACATTCCAGCTTGTCAATATCTCTCTTGAATTGTCTTTTTCATGTGTAGTACTGCTGAGCCAAGTATCCTTCATCCTCTATCTGTGGATTTGTTCAAATTGATTTTATTACTTTCAGCCCAGTTTTCTAGCTTATCCAGATCCTTTTGAATTCAGTTCCTTTCTTCCGGTGCACTATCCACCCCTCCACATCTATATAAATAAAAATGTAATGTTCGTTTGTGGGATTAACAGAACTCAAAAATCACTGGGGGAATTGACACCAAATTTGGACACAAGACACCTAACAATCCAATGTATGTCCTTCACTCAAAACAAATTGATTTTGTCATTTGGAAGTTGTAGTTGCTGGGATTTATAGTTCACCTACAATCAAAGAGCATTCTGAACCCCACCAATGATGGAATTGAATCAAACTTGACACACAGTTCTCCCATGACCAACAGAAAATACTGGAAGGGTTTGGTGGGCAGTGTCCTTTGGTTTTGGAGTTGTAGTTCACCTACATCCAGAGATCACTGTGGACTCAAACAATGATGGATCTGGACCAAACTCTAAGAATACTCAATATGCCCAAATGTGAACACTGGTGGAGTTTGGGGAAAATAGAATCTTGACATTTGGGAGTTGTAGTTGCTGGGATTTATAGTTCACCTACAATCACAGAGCATTCTGAACCCCACCAACGATAGAACTGGGCCAAACCTCCCACACAGAACCCCCATGTGGGCCACAGCAACGGGTGGCAGGGGACGGCTAGTATATATATATATCTATATTAACCCATCGTCTAATCATATTAGCGTTTCTTTCTTTTGGTCCTATCTAGCGCCTGGTATCTCATGTGTTTTTGGAACTCCATTGGGGGGGTGGGGTCTCGTCCACGAGGGGTTTTTTAGAGGGGTCAAGGGACCAAATGCAGAAGCTAGTACAAAACAGGATATTTTCTGATGGTCGCTTATGAGAGCAGTCCTTCCTCCTTGGTTTTGTTCAGAGGGAGACTGAAGGCTACCGATCCTGCCTGTCCGTTCCTCGCTCCTTTTTTGGAAAAGGAACAAAAATAGTGCTACATAGTAATATAAAATACTAATATTGTGCTATGCTAATAATATAATATATTGTATATACTATAATATTTATAATATTATTATAATGTAATACAGTGTTTCTCAACCTGAGAGTCGGAACTCCTGGGGTTGAGGTGTCAGAGGGATCACCACGATATTTTCTGTTGGTCATGAGGCTTCTGGGTGGGAAGTTTGGCCCAATTCTATCGTTGGTGGTGTTCAGAATGCTCTTAGATTGTAGGTGAACTATAAATCCCAGAAACAGCACTCCCAAATGTCAAGGTCTATTTTCCCCAAACTCCACCAGTGTTCACATTTGGGCATATTGAGTATTGTGCCAAGTTTGGTCCAGATCTATCATTGTTTGAGTCCACAGTGCTCTCTGGATAGGTGAACTACAACTCCAAAACTCAGGTAATGTCCACCAAAAGTTTGGTTCAATTCCATTGTTGGTGGGGTTCAGAATTTTGATTGTAGGTGAACTATAAATCCCAGCAACTACAACTCCCAAATGACAAAATCAATTCCCCTCAACCCCACCAGTATTCAAATTTGGATATAATGGGTATTTGTGCCAAATTTGGTCCAGTGAATGAAAATACATCCTGCATATCAGATATTTACATTATGATTCATAACAGTAGCAAAATGACAGTTATGAAGTAGCAACAAAAATAATTTTATGGTTGGGGGTCACCACAACATGAGGAACTGTATTAAGGGGTCACGGCATTAGGAAGGTTGAGAAACACTGATCTAATGCCTGCTCTCATCCCTTTCCTTTCCATGATTTGAGGAGCGGCTTAAGGAGCTGGGCATGTTTAGCCTGAAGAAGAGAAGGCTGAGAGGAGATATGATAGCCATGTATAAATATGTGAGAGGAAGCCACAGGGAGGAGGGAGCAAGCTTGTTTTCTGCCTCCCTGGAGACTAGGACGCGGAACAATGGCTTCAAACTACAAGAAAGGAGATTCCATCTGAACATGAGGAAGAACTTCCTGACTGTGAGAGCCGTTCAGCAGTGGAACTCTCTGCCCCGGAGTGTGTGTGTGTGTCTTGGATGGTGCATAACTATTGGCCTGTGCTTGCAGTCTAATGCCTTCTTAATTGGGATTGCAGAAACTGCCCTTGTGCATCTTCCATTGCACAAGGGAACAATTAGCTGGTACATGGGTTGGAACATTGATTGAACAATGTTGATACCCATCAGAAGTGTGATTTAACACAACCATATTTTGACTACGTGAGTGTAGATTAAACTGTGCAAAAAAGATATAGACCACACCTGGAATATTGTGTCCAGCTCTGGGCACCACAATTGAAGAGAGATGTTGACAAGCTGGAATGTGTCCAGAGGAGGGCGACTAAAATGATCAAGGGCCTGGAGAACAAGCCCTATGAGGAGCGGCTTAAGGAGCTGGGCATGTTTAGCCTGAAGAAGAGAAGGCTGAGAGGAGATATGATAGCCATGTATAAATATGTGAGAGGAAGCCACAAGGAGGAGGGAGCAAGCTTGTTTTCTGCTTCCCTGGAGACTAGGATGTGGAAGAATGGCTTCAAACTATAAGAAATGAGATTCCATCTGAACATTGGGAAGAACTTCCTGGCTGTGAGAGCCGTTCAGCAGTGGAACTCTCTTGCATCTGTGGTGGAGGCTCCTTCTTTGGAAGCTTTTAAACAGAGGCTGGATGGCCATCTGTCAGGGGTGATTTGAATGCAATATTCCTGCTTCTTGGCAGAATGGGGTTGGACTGGATGGCCCATGAGGTCTCTTCCAACTCTTTGATTCTATGATTCTATGGCTCCAGAACAGAACCCTGCAACACTCCACCTGAAACCTCCTTCCAGTGTGAAGCAATATGAATACATATATAGGTTATAATAAAAGTTGATACTTAAATAACATTATAATTAAAAAAAATAGATAAGTCATCCTGTTGAAAACAGCACTAATTTAAAACACTTCTGCACACAAAACAAAGAGCCTCTGGGCAGCGTCTGGTATAGAACAAGTAATCCACCAAATCTTTAGAACATGCAAAGACCCCAAGTGCCATGTAACAATGCATGGCCAAGTAATTTCTCTTATCTGTCTCCCCTTTCGTTTTAGCATTCAGTCAACTGATCAAAGTTTTGGAGAACAAATACCTCAGCCAGAACTTCACGGGAAAATTGGAGGTATTTCAGCTGCCATAAGCATCCAAGAAAAGGTATAGGATCCGGTCCAGGAGGATAATGTCTTTTTCTTTCTTGTAGCTTTACAAACTGGATCAAGAAAAAGCACAGAAAAAGTATAATAAACACGTAACTTAACTCCAACATTGTCCTGCCACAATAAAAACACCCTGTGGTTAGGGTGGCGTAAAATGAAGCTGCTCCCTCAACTAGATCTTTCTCACGGGTGTAAATCCCACGTTTCTTCTTGCCCTCCTCCTTTAGCACACTCCCTTCCAATCACACGTGAAGTTGCTCTGAGCATTGTCCTGTGTTGAAGCAAGTTCAGTTAGAGAAAGTAAGAAATGCAAATTAATCCTTAACAACTCCAGGTGTGGTTTCACAACTATACCTGAAGCATCAGCTCATTTTTCATGACACAAGGATCTCCTAACCCATCTCTTCATGAGACAAGTAAAACATAATCATCACCTTGAACCCACAATGACCAGTCCAAATGACATATGGCCAGCTAGATGAACAGGGTGATACCTCTCTGTCAGATCCCAAAACACACAACAACCATGCTTTCAGAGCATAAAAGGCCACAACTTCATTAGTTACAGTTGCAATATGGTTGACTTACCACATGGGTTCTGGATCAAGTGATGGATGAATCTGACTGTTGATCAATAAAACAGCAAACCAGCCCAAGCTGGAGCCCTTGCATGACAAGGGAAGCTACCACTTGGATGACAACCCCATATGCATATATAGAGTCTCTTGCCACCAGGAGCTACCATACAGAAGCCTTATCACCTCAGTTTTACCAGACCTAATTCCACCATACACCCCTTTCTCCCCACCAGGGACCTCTACTTACTACACTCAAACAAAGCAATTTCATTCCTAGATCTGGACTCACACCTGACCAGGGACCAATTTTCAACATGTGAGTTGAAAAGTTGTGAGAGTGGAACCAAACACACCCTGTCACCTGCCCAGGAGACAAAGGTCCAGCAGAACATCCTGTAGAACAGGGGTTCCCAACCTTTTTTTAACCAGGAATCACTTGACAGGAACCATTTTGACCAGGGACCACTTTGATCAGGGACCACTTTGACCAGGGACCACTTTGACCAAGGACCACTTTGACCAGGAACCACTTTGATCACGGACCACTTTCACTAGGAATCACTTTGACCAGGGACCACTTTGATCAGGGACCACATGAAAAGGAACTACTTGAACAGGGACCATTATGACCAGGAACCCCTATCACCAGGGACCACTTTGTCCAGGGACCACTTTGACCAGGAACCACTTTGACCAGGAACTACTTTGACCAGGAACCACTTTGACCAGGAACCATTTTGATCAGGGACCACTTCGACCAGGGATCACTTTGACCAGGGACCACTTTGACCAGGGACCACTTTGACCAGGAACCACTTTGACCAGGAACCACTTTGACCAAGGACCACTTTGACCAGGAACTACTTGACCACTCTCCAACATTAGCACCAAAAGGGTTACGAATCGGTTTTTGGTCAACTTTAGTTTTGGTTTGGTTATTTGGGGTGCTGCTTTGGATAGACCGTATCAGCTCTAGTTTCTGATACAGAACGTATGCCGTGGTCAGCAATAGGGAAGGAGGCTTGCGGACCAGATTTTCATCCCCGTGGACCACTGGTGGTTCGTGGCCAACAGTTTAAGAACCACTGCTGTAGAAGCTCAAATAATCTGACGACTGACCTGAGTGAAAATCCACAGAGGGTATCTGATTCAGGTCAGCCTTCCTTCAGCCAATGCAATTATGGATGAAATCACATTAGAGTTATAGGACACAGGCTTTCATCTCCGTATCAACCAGTTTACTCCTGCAGTATTCTGGGAAATATAGTTTAGGGAAGCTGAGGACCACTATCACTGAGAATTCCAAAGGTCCTAACCAAGACTACATTTCCCAGAATTCTGCAGGAGCAAACCCGGTGAAAGGGAGATGAAAACTTCCATTCTACAATGCTTTTATTTATCGTGTCAGGAGAGAACCAAAACAGTTGTATTGCATTAAAAACCAACAAACAAACAAAACACAAACTTTGCAGACTTGGCATTCTATTAAATGTCCTTTGACTAGTAGCTGGCCACGTGGAGTGCCTCTGGTGTTGCTGCAAGAAGGTCCTCCATTGTGCATGTGGCGGGGCTCAGGTTGCATTGCAGCAGGTGTTTAATCTCATTAGCTGCCACTGCTCCCCTCCCATCGCCCCACCCCCGCCAAGCCCCATAACCCTAGTCAACTCCAGTCAAAAGCAATATTGCCACCAAGGGTCCAGCGAGGAGCTCGTGGTGACAGTGCCAGGTCTCAGGAGGACAATGCACCAGTGCTGATGTGTGACAGCGTGAGTGGCGCCACCTATGTATAGAACTGTTAGTTGCAAGATTTAAACTGTTGTATCATGCTTAATCCTGCCCCTTTTACCCTGCTTATGTATAGTTGTATGGATTGGTTACTTATAGCTGTCAATCAGTACTGTTTGGCTCCACCTCTTCCTGCAGGAGGGGAGTGCTTCCTTTCTTTTCATTCTGCCATCAGAGTTTGTACCAGATGGACGTGAGTAAGAGACTTTGATTTAATTACCTCTCAGCACCAGTTCTGAGGTTTTTTACCCTTGAGACTTGTGCTTCATGTTCAGACCAACCTGAAAGACGTTGGAAGTCTCAAGCGCCTTCAAACCGGTTCTTTTGGCACCAAAGGAAGATCCTGAGTCTTCAAACATAGGCCATCTGAACTGGGGTTGTGGTTTGCTCCAGCATTCACAGCCACTGAAGAAAGAGGAAACTTGGTGAGGCTTCTCAGCTTCAAACACCTTGGACCCAGGACTGATTGAGACTGTAACGTATGTTTTCCTTCACCCCTCTAAAGTTTCCAGCTCGTTGCTTTAAAGAAATAACTCTTTGTGATCAATAAAACTTATTTTGAGTTATTTACAGCGTTTTGGGTTTTTGAGAGTTCTAGTTTCCTATAGGAGGGCAAGAAGCAATCCCCTGGGGAAAGATGCCACGTCCATGCCTCCTTCGTTAAGAATTATAGCCCCCAGGCGCGACAGCACATGATGTGGAGTAGCACAGCTGGTTGTGTGGACTGCATCAGCTATGGGTCACTTCCTCGCTGGTATGTGTGGACTCCCCAAGATGTACACCAGCTTATTTCACTGGATATAGATGGAGCCCTAGTCATCTGACAACAACATGATGGTCAGAACCCAAATATTTGATTCAAACATAAAAAGACAACAGCAAATATATCTATGACTTGACCTGCCCCACTCCAGATGAGCACCAATATTTCTGGCACATGCAGATGGCCTCTCAGTTAGAGATAACAAAATAAAAACCTATACCTGGTGGATTTCTAAAAGTTTTTATGACCCACAATTTTGCAAGCCTCTGTTATTTAAGATAGTTTCTGTGCTAGTAGTGAATTTCCTACCATTGAACTCTTGAGAATAGTCTGTGGAAGATGTAAATCAGGTGCTGAAGCTGCAGCGCAAAGGTTTAAAACTGGTACAACAGGATTATAATGGAAGGGATTGTCTGCAGCTGTCTCCTTAAGCCCGAGAGAAACTACAGATAGTTGGGGCCTTGGGAACAGGAACGCCAAATAAACCCGAAAGCACTCCTTGTAAAGCATAAATAAAACACCTTGTAACCTCCATTTTAGATCCTCTGGGATTGCTTGGAAAGCACAAACTTTATCCCCCTTCAGCAGCTAGCTTGTTATTTCAAAGAAATATTGCATTAAACAGTACGATAAAATGCAGAAACTACTTTGCCTTGGGAGTATGAATATTTCCTATTGTTTATTGGGAAAATCTGGAGGGAAATTAACATTAATCGTAGAATCATAGACTCGTGGGCCATCCAGTACAACCCCATTTTGCCAAGAAGCAGGAAAATCACATTCAAAGCACCCCCGGCAGGTAGCCATCCAGCCTCTGCTTAAAAGCCTCCAAAGAAGGAGCCTCCACCACACTCCAGGGCAGAGAGTTCCACTGCTGAACAGCTCTTGCAGTTAGGAAGTTCTTCCTCATGTTCAGATGGAATCTCCTTTCCTGTAGTTGGAAGCAATTGTTCTGTGTCCTAGTCTCCAGGACAGCAGAAAACATGCTTGTTCCCTCCTCCCTATGACTCCTCTTCAGATGTTTATACATGGCCCTCATGTCTCCTCTCAGCCTTCTCTTCTACAGGCTAAACATGCTCAACTCTTTTAGCCACTAACAATAGGGCTTGTTCTCCAGACCCTTGATCATTTTAGTCACCATCCTCTGGACACTTTCCAGCTTGTCAACATCTCCCTTCAGTTGTGGTGTCCAGAACTGGACACATTGAGATTCCAAGTGTGGTCTGATCACAGCAGAATAGAGGGGTAGCATGACTTCCCTGGATCTAGACACTAGACTCCTATTTATGCAGGCCAAAATCCCATTGTCTCTTTTTTGCCAACGCATGACATTGTTGCCTCATGTTCACCTTCCTCCCCACAAGGACTTCAAGATCTTTTTCATACGTCCTGCTGTTGAGCCAGACATCATCCCTCATTCTGTATCTTTGCATTTCATTTTTTTCTGCCTAAGTGGAGTATCTTGCATTTGTCCCTGTTGAACTTCATTTTGTTAGTTTTGGCCAATCATCTCTCTAATCTGTTCAGACTGTTTTGCATTCTGTTCCTGTCTTCTGGAGACAGATGCACATCCTGTTCAGGATCTTTATTAATGACTTAGGTGGGTTAGAAGGCATGATCATTAAGTTTACAGATGGAACCAAATTGGCTCTCCCTCCCAATTTGGTCCCATCTGCAAACTTGATGGTCATGGTCTTCTAACCCTTCATCTAAGTCATTAATAAAGATCCTGAACAGGACCGGGCCCAGGACGAAAACCTGCTGATGGTACTCCACTCTTCAGTTCTTTCCAGGATGAAGACGAAGCATTGGGGAGAATAATAATAACAATAATAATCATCATCATCATCATCATCATCATCTTCAAGGATGATAAAAATATCAAATCATCTGGGCATCCCCTGGGCAACGTCCTTGCAGACGGCCAATTCTCTCACACCAGAAGCAACTTTCAGTTTCTCAAGTCGCTCCTGACACGACAAAAAAAAATTCTTCATCTTTATTTATACCCCGCCACCATCTCCCCAAAGGGGACTCGGGTGGCTTACATGAGGCCAAGTCTGATAATACAGTTACAGTAAAATAAATACAAAACGGCAAAAA